TGGTAACGAGCTTCCACAGAGGGACAAGGCCAAAGGTAAAGCGCTCACAACCACTGGAGAACCACTCTAAGACTTACAAAGTCCTTCTCCCGCTGGTGCCTCTCCTCGGCCTCCTTCAGCATCTCCTGTGCCTGCTGGAGCTTGGCGTCCACCAGCTGCTGCTGCAGGTCCTTGTGTTTGAACACCTTGTCAATGTGCTGTCGAGGGAGATGCCACCAGTCACCGACACGCTCCCAGTCCCTGCTGCCTGGGCAGCGACCCCAGGGGAAGGTCCCAGAGCTCACCCCTTCTCCCCTCCAACCGAAGGAACGCGCTCCGCTGGGCACCAGAGCAGCCCCGCACCAGGCCTCCCGCCCCGACCCACCTCCTCCCGCAGCTCGTACTGCTCAATGAGCTTCTTGAGCCGCTCTGCCAGCTCCATGTTCTCCTGGCGCAGCTTGGAGTTCTTCTCGTTGTGCTGCTCCATCTGGAGCTGGATGTCGTTCAGCGTCACCTGGAAGTGGCCCAGAGGCCCCCCCTTCTCCCCTCCAACCGCAGGAACGCGCTCCGCTGGGCACCAGAGCAGCCCCGCACCAGGCCTCCCGCCCCGACCCACCTCCTCCCGCAGCTCGTACTGCTCAATGAGCTTCTTGAGCCGCTCTGCCAGCTCCATGTTCTCCTGGCGCAGCTTGGAGTTCTTCTCGTTGTGCTGCTCCATCTGGAGCTGGATGTCGTTCAGCGTCACCTGGAAGTGGGATGTCACCTCCTTCCGCTTCTCCTCTTCCTCCCGCGCGCGCTGGACACCCTCCTCCTGCGTGAGGAGGGCAGAGACAGCAGGGACGTGTCAGCAGCTTCTGCGCTGGGGGGGCAGGGGAGCAAACTGCCCAAACCACGATGCTCTGAACCCGCCCAGCCTCCCGCTATTGCTTGTGTCACTCGGGAAGGGACTTTGGGCCTTTCCCCTCCCTTTCTCCAGGGATATTCACTGACAGAACACTTGGGCACTGCGCGTAACGATGGCACAACAGCAGAATCAAAGCGCTGGCAGACTGTGGGCAATCACTGGTCAAGGTTTGCCAGAGCAGCCCACAAGAAGCGACCCAAAGCGCTGGGGATGAAGCGGCTCTCGGCACCGTGCCCGGGAGACACTTGCCTTGAGGGTGCGGTTGTGTCTCTGGAGCTCGCGGCACAGGCTCTCCAGCTTGCTGCGGGCCAGGATGGCCTTGCTGTGCTCACTCTGCAGGTGGTCCTTCTCTTGCACCAGCTGCGTCTGCTTCTTCTGTAAGATCTTCATCTGCTTTTGGGAGTTACGGTGCTCTTCCAGCTAGGAGAGGGGAGCAAAGGGCACAGATGCAGCAAGACAGACCATGGCAACAGGCTGTGCCCCGGTGAGAGGACGCAGGGTCAAAGAAGGGCTCTCTGTGCTCTGAGAGGAGGACAAGAGCTTTACAGCGCAGAAGATGCCCCTTCTGAGCAGAGCACGACAGACACAGAGCCCGAGGTCCCCGGGACGGGGCCTTTCTCCATCCTGAATCCCTGTCCTGCTGGAATCCAAAAGACTCGCACATTCATCCAGCACCTCCACGCGCGTGGTGCTCCAACGGCGCAGAGCTCTGAGCACAGGGAACACCCGAACACGTCCACTTCGGACACGCAGACAGTCCCACACCTCTGCTCTGCACCGGCTCCGCGCACAGCGCACATCCGGGCCTAGAACTCCTAGCTCTGGCTGAACGTAGCATCAGGCTTTGTGTCTGCTGTGCGGCTGAATGTGCACACGGAGCAGCACGGCGACTCTGCCAAACACGCTTCTCTTGCTAGGAAATCATCAGCAGAAGGGCAGCGACTGAGCGGGGGGGGACAGGCGACGTATCCCCGCGGTGTTCCGTCGCTGCGCCTGCCAAGTCACAGCTCAGCCCTGCCCGCAGGGAGAGCGGGACGCGCAGGCTCCACACAACAGCCCTGGCCACAGGACACAATGGGCAAGAGATGCAGCTTCCGTGTTAGAGAAGCAGAGAGAAAACAGATCTGAAGGCCTCTCACACGCAGATTTGCCAAAAATACTCTGGTCTATGCTTACACTTCAGCAAACGACAACGCCTGGCTGGGCCAAGCAACACCGATCCTCTGATATTGGGACATCCAGCGCTGCAGAGATCCCAGAACGGACACTGCAAAGCTACATGTGTCTTCCTGGACTGTCCCTCTCAACATCAAGAAAAGAAACCCACAGCCACCTTCTGCAGTGTCCTCCCCCCAGCCCCAGAGCCTGGAGCGAAGGCATAAGCACTCACCAGCTCAGCGTATTTCTTGCACAGTGCTGCTAGCTTCTCCTCTGGCGTGCTCAGGGTGTTCAGCGTCTGCATCAGCAAGGTGATTTCTTTGCCTGGAACAAGGCACAGAATTTAAATAAATAAATAAATAAAATAAAAATCACTTACACAGAGCTCTGGTTCGTAAGGGCAAAGACAGGAGAGACGAACCAGGTCTCACAGCCGTGCCTGCCCTGGGCTGGAGCTGCCACCTCCAGTGCCTTGGCAGGGGGGTGCCCCACAGGTTTCACTGCACACACGCGGTGCAGAGCCGAAGCAGGCGGGGAGAGACCTGGTTTTCAGAGCGGGAACCACCGCTGGGCTGGCTAGGGAGAGCCGTGTCCAGCAGAGGAGAAACGCGCGGCCCCGGAGCAGTCGGTGCCTTTGCAGCGCTCGGCACGCTGCCTCCCATCGCAGGGAACACAGCGCTGTATCGCTCCCAAACGCCGCCGCGCACCACGCACCCAAGGCACTTCTTCCCCCAAGGGCAATTAGCAATTAGTGGAAAATCGATGTCTGCGCTGAAGCTCTCGGGCTGGCAGCACAACCAGAGCAGGGAACCTCTTACCTAGGCCCTTGGCTTTCTTCTTTTCCTGAGCCTTCTTCTGATCCCGCTCCCCACACTCCTCGCTGGGCCGAAACTCTTCAGTCCCTTTTGTGTTTTCCTTCTCCCCATTCATCTCGGGGCCGCCTGTCTCCTGGTCCCCGTTCCTCGGCGCCTCGCTACGACCCTTCTCGGCTTCCCACGAGCACCCGTGCACGATCCTTGTCGCCTGGACCCTCCTGGCTGGCATCCACACAGTATGTGTTCAAGATGTCCTCAAGCTGCCTGCTCAGCTCTTCGGAGACGTCTCGCACGGCAGGCCGGGAGGACTTGGTGTCCTCCTGCGCCAGAGGAGCTGCGGGAGACGGGAACACAAAAGCATGAGACCTCCCCCCCACCGCCGATTCTCTGGTCTCTACCAACACACGGCAAAGCGAAGGTTTCCCCAGCACCCACCGCAGCGGGGCTGGCCAAACTTCCAGCAACGCGAGCCGCTTTGTTCTGGCAGCGTCTCCAGCAAGCTGCCCTT